TGCAGAGACAAGGGCAATTTTAATCTTATAGGGGGACAATGACAAAAAACACATTTATTCAGGAGAACAATCTTATGAATGCCTGAGACCTTACTCTGCAGATTTATGTTGGTTGGCTTCTCAACAAGAATGTTAAAGTCCTTGAGTCCAAGCCCAGAATTGAATCCTTTTGAAAATATATGGACTGACTGTTCACTGACATGATGAGCTGTTCATGGACACTCCCCTTCTAATTTTGACCAAGCCAGGACAAATCTGTAAGGACTAATGGCATTTTCCTAAAATTCAGATGTGCTAATCTGACACAGATGAATCAAAGCTGTGTTCACTGCAAAAATAAAAGAGGATGTAAGTATTTACACAGCTGAGTTTTTATTTGTTTACAGGATTATTAGAAGCTTCTTATAACATTTTAGCATCGTAATCAATATTTCTTTGTGTAAAAAATCTAAACTTCAAACCACTTTGAACTCAGGCTGCAGCACCAGAAAATGCAGAAGACCACAAGGGTTTACTGTCTTGCTGTAGGTGGGGTAATATAATATAATGGATGCTTTATTAGACTCCTACTCTGTACGTTATCAGTATTAATATCAACAAGGACAGTATCCATTAGTCATGAGTCCATAACAGACATCCATTTTGGAGAACCTCAGTAATAATACATCAACACAACCATAATTAAACTTTAAAATTACCATAATTACTACTGAAAAGGGGGCGTGTTTGACTCAGTCTTACAGAGAGAAGAAGAAATGGTGGAGCTGACCTCCTCTTACTAATTTTGGGCATGACTGCTGCGGTACCGGTAGCTTCGTATATCTTATCATTCCAGAGTCTGTCTCGCTCTCTTTTTTGTCTGTGTGTGGGTGTAGCCCACACACAGACCTGACTTGTTATGGTAAAGCTCAGTTATATGGAGATTTGTCTGTCCACTGGACATATATGCAGTTTCTCACACCACTTAATCTATCTATTTGCTCCATAAACACAGCTATAATCCCTCTTGATGTAAACCTTTAAACTCAATACACTGTACGTGCATCTTCACAACCAGTGCATTATTAATGTCAAAGACAAATCTTATTACGTAACTTCACTGTTCTGGCTTTGGATTTAGGACAGTGGAGTATTTCAAGGAGTGAACACAGCAGTGAAATACTAACCTAAGTTGTTATAAATTAATATGCATGTTTGATCCTTGTTTTCTTCAACAACGTTTGTGACCAAAAAGGGACCTAAACATCTCAACCCTGAACTGGCTAAATGAGTAAAACTATTTTTATTGACCAGGATAGAGATATAAAAGTTTGGACTCTTGTCTGTACACCACACATTGGTCCATAATGTAATATTTTAACAATTATGGAAAGGACTGAGTCTGCCAACTTTTCCTCTATCACCACCAGCAGGTCAAAGGTTTCACTTATCCAAATATCTTAATGGATTGGCACAAACGGTTTGTGCAGACATTCATGGTTCTAAGACAATAAATACTAATGACTTTTGTGAAGATTTTTTCATAGCGCCACCATGAATGCAGTTTTAGAGAAATGTCCTGACAACTATTGGATGGATTACCATTCATATTGCCATCAGGATGACGTGTAATAGTCTAACTTTGGTGACTTTTGGTGAACTTTTTCTCTAGAGCCATCTCTGTTAAAGTGTCAGTACTTGTACAAACCAACCTACAGAACTAAATACATTCTCATCAGCCTCAGCTGTACATTGTGTTGTGTGATAATTATCACATGGACGTATGTGTATGTATGCTTAACATAGCATGTTAGCAGTGTCATTGAGAGCATGTTAGCATGTTAATGTTAGCATTTAGCCCAGACTAGTCACCGCTCTAGGCTTGATGTAAGCATCTTAATATTTTTTCAAAAATGTCACTGCTGTTGTGTCTGCAAATATTAAGGAACTTTGACATTTATATAAACAGATAAATAAATAAATAAATAAAATAATTAATAAATAAAGATTATGACTTTGATTATAAAATGCAAATTAAAAGAATTTTACTTACTGCCTTAGGCTGTTGGTGTTCTTTCAGTTCGTCAGATAAAATGCAAATGTGTATGCAGTATGAAAAATGGATGCAACAGCCCATGGGACAGAGAAAGATATGCTGTGGAGGATAAATCAGGTTTTACAATGACACAGTGGTAATCATAGTTTGGTTATTCAATTTCAATTAAATTAAATACACATTTACAGTCATTTGTTTGTGTGGTTGCTAAAATTTCACAGCAATTACCAAAATAATCAGAGGGGCTTTTATTATGATCAGCAGAGCTTCATGCACTGTCAGCAGAAAGACACAGAGAAAAGTTTAATATTTTCATATAGTATTAAACTGGACATAAATAGTAATATTGCATATCATGAGCGGGTTCAAACATCTCATGAATTTTATTCTGCATAGGCCGGATTACTAGATGAAAAGGCAGGGAATTAGATTGGAGGGAGTGGAGATGACACTGGATACATTTGAGCATCCAGTCTTTATGTAGACAGCAGTGAAAATAAAACGTTTGTTTAGGTATATTTTTAAATTTTATGAAAAGTCAGAGGAAAAAAATCAGTCGTCATCCAGTATTTTCTTTTCTGTAGTTCGACATTCCAACATTTCCACTGACTCTGTCTCCACAAGTGTCCTCTGAAATAAGCAATGCAGTTTGGTTGTGGAAAAATCCAGCAGGCTTTGGCAGAGCTTAAAGGGCAATTAGCAGCGTAATGAAATAAACCAGCAGAGTCTCCTGTTTGACAAGGGAAGGATTAAATAGATATTTTACCAACTGGTAGCTTGGTACAAAATCTCTGAAGATGGAGGTCTTGTCCTATCAATTCGAAAGTACTTTTTCTGAGATCTGATTCACATGACTGCATATTCACATAAGGCCAGAAAGTTGTCCTCACTTATCTATCTGCATTATTTCTTGCCTATATATGTTTACATTGCTCTTATGTGCGTCACAGCTGGCCTCCAGGCAACACAGAAATGTGATCACAAAGTCAGCCTGAGACACCTCCATGTCTTGTGTGGATTATTTGGTAGCAGTGTGAGTCAAATTAGATTTTTGTATCTAAGATGTCTCCTAATGCGTCCTGGCATAATTGGATAATAAAAGTCACAATGAAACGACAGGAGTAACGACAACCTCGGACAGCCAGCGTGAATTAAAGTGGCTGGGTCTCTCGTCTCTTTGTCGGCACAGCGCTCTGTCTGCCTGGCTAAGAAGGTGTCTAAGTGATGATCTAATCCTAATATAATTAAATCTAATCGTGCTTGATGTGATGTAATCCGATGCTGTTAACATGCAGTGATTGGATTTCTTGGAATGGTGAGGAGGATACTTCCGACTTGTAAACGCCATAGGGAACTTTGGTTATGTTGACTTCAGACAAGAACATTGTGCAATGGAACAGTTTGGTGAGTTTGGGGGTTTATTTCCTCACTGTGAGAAAACTGTTGAAAATAGGAACAAAAACATGGTGGTTAAGATTTGTTAACCCTTATTTTTCTTGTCAAAGTGAACCTCTCTTCTGTGCTAGTGTGAGAAATTCTAAAGGAATTGTAATCATTAAATTCAGTCCATTTGTATGGGAAGAAATTAACTGAATCATTATAAACAAAACATAATCAGATTTAAACTCTGTGTGGAGTTCATCCTTTGGTTGCAGGTCAGATCTCTGTTGGATAGCAGACGACAAACACGGCCAACAGTGCTTGCCAGATAGGATGCAGATCAACAGCAGGACAATCAGGAATATTTAACTTCCTGTGCTCCCCTGGAACTGTACCATAGACACACAGTACCATAGCACAGAAACACACACACACACACACACACACACACACACACACTAGTTACATGGGTTACACAGACACAGTCATAGTCAAAGGCTACAAATATGCACACAGAATGGTTGCACGCACATATCAATATGCATATATATATACATGGACTCACATATACACACATTGCCTGTTGCCAAGGATTCCCAGTTAGATGGTGTGACGCCATATGTTGCAGTACTGGCAGCACCACAAGTGTTCAGCTGGTGAGCTACAAACCTGTTAGAGGCTACGGACACACTCAGGTGTTGTTTGCACAACAGGGAAGAACAAATGAGTACACACACACACACACACACACACACACACACACACACACAGTGCATATATGA